CAGGAGCGGCCGGAGCGCAGCCCTCAGACCCACAGGACACGCACGGGGGTCGAGTGCAACACAGGGCGGGGAGCAAACGCGTGTTTTCCTTCCTAATCCTGCAAACACTCACAGCGGGAGCCTCCCACGCCTCACACGCGTGGGGCAGGAGCGCGGAGGCGCCCGGACAGCCCCCGTGCCTCGGCTCTCGCCAGCGCTGGGCGACAGCGGCCACGGCGACAGCGGCCACGGCGACCCCGGCCCGCGGCCCCGGCAGCGACGGCAGGGCAGGGTGGGGCGGGCTCGCCCGCCTCCTCCTGTCCGGTGCGAGACCCTCCGCCCGGCCCCGGGCGCCCTTCCCGCCGCGGAACGCAGACGCTCACCCCGCTCGCCATCGCGCACGCCTACGGCTGCCAGCGGAAGGGGAAGGACAGCCCGCCTCCTTCCCCGCTGCCTCTCTCCCCGCCTCCCTCTCAGGGGCGGGCGAAGGGACTGGGTCCTTCCTCCCTTTTTCACCTCCCACCCTTGCAGGGCAGAGGTGGGCCGGCTTGGTCCCAAGCTCGCTGTGGCGCTTTTCTTCCCGCAGAGCGCGGTGCTGGCCAGGGTCTCTGTGTTTGCTGAGGGTGCCCGCAGTGTTGCCTTGCCGTGCGGCTCGGTTTGTGGCTGCTGACGGCCGCACCGGTGTCTTCCATCGCGGCTCCTCTAGTCCGGCCGGCAGATGGATATTACTGTGCCCGTGAGGGAGCAGGCCCGCTGTCCCGGCCCATGGGCCTGTTCCTGCCCACACCAGGTTGCCCAGATTCCCTCCCAACTAACGGGACTCCACGGCCTCCTCTGCGCCGCTCCTGAGGGCCGCAGCAGTGCCTGGATGTGCCTGCCTTTCCCAGGCCCGGGAATGCCGCCCTGGCTCCCGTTCTGGAGGTGTTAGTACCGCCTGTGTCCCACCTGGGCACGGGGAAGCTGACCGTGTCTGCAGAGCCATGTCCTTTGTGCCTGAATCTGTTCTTGGCTGGATAAACTGCAGTGCTGCAGGCTTTACTGGGTGCAGTGTGAAGACGTGACTTCAGACTGGGTGAAGGCAGCCCGCTGCCAGGGTAGGTGAAGGGATCTGCAGTGGGATGGAAATTATGACTGGGCTTCTTGACATTCCATCCAGCAGCCTTTGAAGCAAAGGAGCTATTGCTGCAAGATGGGATCGCTCACTGGTTCATGCTGTTTCATTTTCCAAAAAAACCATTTTTCTCCAGGTAGGGTAGGAAAGGCTTCTTGTGAGGTCTGCAGACATGATTGTGTAAGATGAAGGGAACAGTTCTGCTGTGAGCTGTTGGGATTTTCCACAAGAGGTGATGGTGCTTGAGAAATGGCAGGATGTAACTGAGTCCCCCCCAGTAAGAAAGGGAATTTTTATTTTCCAGTGACATGCTAACAAAAGCTTAGCAAATACCTCAGATAGACAACAGCACAAGCGTGTGGAAAATTAATAACAGGACATAAGAACTATGACATTTAGTAAATAACATGAAAGTAACATTTAATAACAAAACTAAAATGAGAAACTAAATCTGTAGGATCATGAAAGCTGACGTGGAACTGGAAGGTAATTTGGCCAGTGAGGGTGCTATACAGGTTCCACACCCTGTTGAAATCAACACAGGCCTTGTCCATTTCCTTGGTTAAATTCAGCTCTGCCAACCTCTCCTGCTAATTTCATGCTCTTGGCCACCCCTGGTTTGTCAGTGCTTCCAAAAAGCCTCCAAGCATTTTATGTTTAGATAAACTCCACAGATGCTCTGCTTTTTTTAGTATCTTTGATATTCTGAACATTGTAGGCACTGATTCTGGTGGACAAAGGGACAGATACATAAATCAGGCATCTTTAACACTCTATCCAGTTTCAGAGATGATGTTTATTTTTTCATCTTTCCTTCCCTTGCAGTTTTGTGATGCTGCCCCCAATCTTGCTGTGTACTTTTGGAAGCCCCTGGACACTGTAAGTGGCTTTGCAACTTTCTTTCTGTTCTCAGCACCATGCAAACAAATCAAGTTACCACTCTATGATCTTGACTAAACTATCCATGCTTTGTCACATGTTTCAGGTTTATGTAGATAAGTTCTGTAGCAGAGGACTAACGCTGCTGCTCTGAATTTTACATTTTTTTGGTTTTGGTGTTGTTCTTTCAGGTGTTATATGTTAATCAGGAACATCAGCTTGGATGGAGAAAAGAGGAGGGCTTGGAAGCACTCTGAGCATGTGGGAGGGAGACCTGGCAATCATGTTCTTGTTTGGTGGATGTGGTCAAGTGGGGAGAAAAGTCCAAAACAACTAGGGATCTGTATTCCTTTTGTTTTCCTTAAAAAAAAAAAAAATTAAACTGTATTATTATGCCTACCCTGGAGGCATTAGTTTTTTAGTGAAGTTTTTTTCTGTGCCTTAGTTTAACTTTGAAGCACAAGAAGATGTGGGGGAAGAAATCACTTGCAAGCTTGGCAGGCGGTGGATGGCTGAATGAAGATGCAAGTGCTGTGCCAGGGTGCCCATCCTGGGACAGTGTGAGTGCCAGTGGCAGGAGCTGGCAGTGTGGCTCCCTCAGAAGGAGGAGCTGGTGCTTTGGCACTGGAGCTGCTGGCTGCAGCCTCACACGCTGGTGAACAGATTGGCAGGGCACAGGGAGGCTGGAGCAGACTGGTAAGTCTACCCAGAAGCAAAACTGAAGTGCATTAATACAAACATTGCCTGCTTTGTTTTCCCCAGGCAGATATGGTCCTACATTGACCCACAGGTAATTTCCCCTCTATTAATACTCTTAATTTTCCAAATCAAACCAGTAGTTTTGATGGAAATATTTCATTAGAGCAACCCTCTTAGAGCTGGGATAACCTGTGCACTAGTTCCTGCAGTGGATGCTTGAGTGGAACTCTCTTTTTGTTGGGCATTGTTCTCAAAACCATCCTTTTGAATTCTGATTTAAGTTTCCTGCATTTTTCTGTGAAGTACTGGAGGATAATACTTATGCTCAAAAATGCTCAAAACCGGTTGGTATTTCTTTGCATAATTCTTAGGTAATTGCAATATTTTATAAACATAAATATAAATATAAATATAAATATTATCAGGTAATTCAAGAAATGGTTGGTTCCAAAGGAAAAACTTTAGGAATAATTTCACTAATTGATCCTAGTATAATTCTAAACGATACTGGAGTAAAATAACTTTTCAAAACAAATCTGGTGTATTCAAAATAAGTGTGAAAGTGACCATGACAGTTTTGCAGTAGAGACACATGAAGTTGGGATGCTGAAAGATGTTTAATATTTTAGATATGGAAATAAGTATTTTGGGGAGTTTTGTGATTAAATACTCTCAGGTATCTGCATTCACTGAAAACCAAATAAAACACAAAAAGCTGATCTAGTAAGTGGTGATTTTAGTATTTTAATATTAAAATAACTATGCAAGGGACATTTGAAAGATGAAAGTGGTGAAGGAATTGTGCTGTCACCTCCTTCTTTGCACTCGGCAGCATTTTCTTCTGGTTTGTATAAATGTCTTTGCTTTCAAATGTAATTATTTGGCCAGCTGTGAAACAAGTGACGTTTTAGGAATCAAGCAGAATTTGAGGAGCTCTCTTATTATCTGCTAAAATCTGAAGTCCTGCCCAGTTAGCGATTGTTGGCAAAGGGGCAGGAGGATCTCCGAGATCCAAGGCAGCATGCCCGGCGAGCAGGGAACGATGACCACCAGGTGGCCCTGCTGTAGCAGAGAGCTCCTCAGTACTCGGAAGAGCTTATGCAACTTTTCACGTAACAGCAGATCAAAAGAATTGGTAAAGTGCAAGTTACAATTTACTTTAGGCAGATTTTTTTTATACGGATCGAACTTTTTTTCATCTAGGTCTAGATTTTTTCCAAAAAGGAAAAAAAAATTATTATCTTTTGTCCCAATCCTGCACAGATTTATGTGTTTATATTTGTTAGACAGATACTTGGCAAATTGATTACATTTTTGAGACTTGTCACCTGTATAAAGTTAAGACTGTGCAAATGCAGGTGCAGTATTAGGGAAACATGGTTTATTGGAAGTTTTTGGAGTTTTATCAGTAGGGAAGTGCTAGAACTCAGTTAATTAACATTTATTGAATTATATTGGTGTTGACTCATTACCATCACTCTTGTTGTCATATGTTTAAAAAGTAGTTAGGAGAATTATAGCTAACTTTATGTCGTGGCAGAGTGATATGTGCAGAAGGTACTAAAAATTGGTGGACAGGATGGGATTTGTTTACCTTCGATAACTCATTTGTGTGTTCATGATATTCTGTGTAATTGCTGATTTTGCTGAGGGGTTTCCAGAAGTTCAAAGGGCTGTGGGATGTGATAAGTGTTGCACAAAAGAGGTCAAAAGGCATGGTAGTGTTATGGGTCCGATGTTCAGCACTGAAAGAAGGATCTGTTTAGCAGAATGACCATCTTGGACTGACAATCCTGTTCTTTGGGGAAGATTTTTCAGAGGTGTACTGTAACATACCTTGGAACTTGGTGTGAAAAATGTATTGAAAGTACACTAGCATATGCCAAAATGAAACAGGACCCATGGATCATGTACGAGTGTTACATCACTATAAGAAAGTTATCTACTGCTTTATATAATATGCTTCAGAGCAGCAGCATCAGGGATGGTTTCCCTGCTGGTCTTTGCTGGAAGCTATAGCATCTACAGCATTCACCCAGCTGAGATGGGGCAGAGAGGAGAGGGCCCAGTTCACTGAGGGACATGGAGGTGGGAGGTGGCAGCAGAGGAGGGACAAAGGCTGTTGGTCACTGCTGAGAGCAAGGGTGGGGTGGAAGGGCCTTCGATGTGAGGGGGAGCTCCCCCTCTCCTCTGGAAACACTTTTGATAGAATGCACTGCATGGGACAAGTTTGACAGAAACCCTTTATTAGTAAAAGCATTTTCTTGGGAGAGAAATCCTTCTGGATTTTGTCCGCGGACAGCAGGAGCAGCAGTGCCACCAGCACAGGCGAGTTGCTCATTCTCTTCTCCTGGTGCCTCCCAAGGAGAGCTGCTGGCTGAGAAGGGCCCGGGCCAGGAGAGCACGTGCTGCTGCGCTGCTCCCTCTGCTCGGCTTCCTTGGCCGTGTCCTTCAGAAGAGCAGGACAGTGCGGATACTGAAAAGTGGAAGGGAAGGGAGGGTTTGCTGCAGCTCAGGAGCAGGCAGTGTGGCAGGCAGGTGTGCCTGGGCACCGGCCACCTTCTTTGTCATGCAGCCTCTTCCTGACTGAGCTGCATGAGGTGTGCGGCAGCGGGGCATCCTTCAAATCCCTGCTGAGGGGAACCCCTCACGGGATAAGGTCACAGGATCTGTGCAGAGCTGAACCATGGGCAGGAGGGTTCCCTGTGCTGAACACGGGCTCTTCCCTCTGGGCTATGGCAGATCTTGCCCGCACTGAGCTGTGAGGCCCTGCTTCCTCAAAAGGCTCAGGTGTGCTCTTTGGGAAGCCAGTGTTGCATGCTCTGCCTGTTGGAATTTTAGGAGGAGGTGTTGAGGTTTGCTGAACCTCCTGCTGGTCAGGGTCTCACCTTTTTCCTGCACGTAACAACTCAAATCCCTCGTTCACTTTAGCGAATGGCAGCGTGTGCGTGATCAGCGAGTCTGAATTGAATTTCTTCTCCAAATAGCTGGAAACTAATTTGGGGATACATTCTCTCATCTTCCAGCCTAGAAACAGGAAAGACCAGCTGCATGAATAATGGTAGAAAGGTTGTTTTGGTAAGGTAGTGTTACTGTGAGGGTCAGGACTGAGTGACCAGAGCTGGTGCCACACACTTGTGAGATGTTTTCTGTTCTTTAGGATGAGTGGGTTACTCTATGAAACAGGTAGACGATTGTTTGCATGTCTAATGCTAATGTTCAGTATAGGCAATGCAGTGCTCCTCTTTAGTGAAAACCCTCTTTTACTATGGATTGTCAACTACCATGAAAAGAAAAGCTGAAATACTTAGACAGCCTTCTTAAGTTCACTACCTCCAAGCACAGTCCCCTTCCATGTACGCCCAATCAGCAGAAGCATGGGATCAATGGAAATCTCTGATCCAGAATCCAGTTCTCCAACCATCACACAGACACCAGTGCTCATATTGCAGGAAGCCAAGGCAGCAATCTGATGGGACAGGCAGGAGAGTGAGAGAAAGACCTTATGGGTTAGTCATGAGAGTGCTCTTTTGGTGCAATCTCCTGCTCCTCCCTGCTAATCTGAAAAAACACATCCCCCCTTGTTGAGGAGACCTGGATAGCTTGGGACCTCTTTAAGATTTGTACACTGTTTTATGCCTAAGGCAGCAGCCTGCCATTGTGCATCCAGCAGTGCAGGCAGCAGGCAGGGAACTTCCCATGGAGGTGAATTTTGCCCTGAGAGGAGCCTGTGGTGATCTGGGAGGGAGCAGAGGTGCTGAAGTGCCACCTACCATGGTGTCCGCGAGCCCAATGGCCTCAAAGGAGTAGTCGACGCCCTGCCCGGTCATCTCAGTGAGCACCTCCTGGATGGGCTTCTTGAAGTCTCGAGGGTTGATGCAGTCGGTGGCTCCCAGCTCTTTGGCCTTGGCAAACTTGTCCTTGTTGATGTCCACGGCAATGATGCGGGAAGCTCCAGCTGCCTTGCAGCCCATGACAACAGAGAGGCCAACTCCTCCGAGGCCGAAGACAGCACAGGAGGAGCCTGGTTTTACCTGCACAGATGGGGGCCTGTGAGTCTCCAGCAGGAATAGGAGAAGGAAGAGGGGGAGGGGGAGGAGAAGGAGGAGGAGAAGTTTTCTTTTGCACAGGATTGATGAGGTTGTGAGGGCAACTGTGGGGTGCTAAACATTCCAACCTTGGCTGTGTTGATGGCAGCCCCATAGCCTGTGGAAAACCCACAGCCAAACAAGCAGACTTTGTCCAGAGGTGCTGCAGCATCTATCTTGGCAACAGCGTATTCTGGGACCACGGTGTATTCTGCAAAGGTGCTGATCCACAGGAAGTGGTGGATCTGCTTCCCTTTGCAAGAGAAGCGGCTGGTCTTGTCCGGCAGCAGGTTTTGTGGTTCATAGAAACTGTGGGGAGACACAAGTATTTGTATTTGATTGAGTGAAGCACTGATGGGGGTGTCAGATTTGTCATAAAGTCAATCCCATGTAGGTGTAGGGGAAGGCAAAGTAAACTTACTGGGACTTCTGGCAGAAGTTGGATTCAGGATTCTGGCAGAAGCTGCATTCCCCACACTGAGGGAGGCAAAGGGGCATGACTTTGTCACCTGGAAGAAAACAATATCCTGTGTTAGGTGGCTGTAAGGATGCTGCTTGTGTGAGAGCTGATTCCTGGCATGTGTTTGTGTGTGTGTATCAGTTACCTGGTTTCATAGAGGTCACTCCTTCTCCAACGCTTTCCACAATTCCGGCTCCTTCATGGCCAGGAATGACTGGGAATTCTGCGTTGGGAAAGCAGCCTTGCAGAAGGTGCTCATCTGTGCGACAGATGCCTGTGGCCACAAGCTATTTGGAGAGGAACAAGTAGATGTCCTTGCTTCTGTCTTACTCAGTTTATGGAAGCAATTTTCTCAGGGGTGTTATGATGCCCCTCAGTCAGTGCTGGCACTCTATGGCAGCACACAGAGCCCAGGCTGGGCTTTCCCCTTCTGCTTACTCTGGTTGTTCCATATGGCTTTCCTCTGCACTGAGCTGGAGGTGGAAATTGAAGGGAGGCCACACTGTGGGTACCAGAGCCCTATCCAGCAGAGCAAGGGCTGGAGACAGGAATTCCTCTGTGACAGCTTAGACAAGAACTAGTCCAAAAAGGAGCTCCTGACAGATTTGAGCCAAGGCAGCTTTGGACAATTAAAGCCTCTTGGAGGACAAAGATCCCTGAGTTTTACTGAAGGTATAACCACAAGAAGAGCAATTCCCACTAGGAAGGAAGAAAAAGTTATTGAAATGTATTTTTACCTTGATCCGGACTTCCCCTGCCTTTGGGGGTGCAACTTCCACCTCCTCAACAGAGAGTTTGCCTGGGGCCCAGGCAACAGCAGCCCTGCACCTGATAACCTGGAAACAACCAAGAGGAATACATTGCATGGGAACACTGGCCTTTAGCACATGGTTGGGGGAAGTCATCCTGCAATCAACGGAACCAGAGGTGTTCAAACCTGGGATGCTCAGCTGAACCTGAAACCAAGTGCTGTCCAATAAACACTGGCATAGTTTGGGCTCTGAGGAAACCCCATTTGTGGTTTGGGACCCAAAGAGTGTCAGGTGTAGCCTTGGAAAATTACTGGGTTCTGATGGCTTTGGTGGATTTTTCATAATATCCCCAAGTGTTACTGGCCAGACTGAGCTGTCATGGGGACTGCAGATCCTACATAGTGGAAATGCTTCTGGAGAGCTTTGACATCAGCCTTGTAACACACTGGTCTGATGGGGAGTGAGAGGGGTTATAGAATTGTCCCCATCTGATAGGCACCTGGATAGTTTTTTCCTTTACCAAGGTTTGCTTTGTGTGTGACATGGCACAAACTGGCCATGTCAACTCAAAGCTCCTTGGCACCAGCAAAATGGGGCTTGCAGCTTGAAAAGGGAATTGCCATGGCCAAGGATGAGTGCAGGAGGTGAGCGGCTGAAGAGATGTGGTGACTTCTCGACGCAAACGACGGAGCGCAGGAGCACAGGGTGGGGTTGAGCAGGAGGGTGTTTTTCAGAGCAGCACAATTCCATACTTTGTCTCCTGAGCAGCTGGGCAGCACAGAGGGGCAATGCACAGCGAATGCAGCTATGGACACGTGCAGTTGTCTGAGAGCAGAGTCTGGCGAAATGCACAGGGCTTTGGCAGAGCTGGGGGAGTAAGGTCGGAGCAAAGAGGGCACGCAGAGCGGTGCGCAGGCTGAGCCTTTTGCAGCGGGTTTGGCCAAGAGCAGGGCACCTCGGAAAGGAGGATGGGCAGTGCCTTGTCCTTACTTGTCCCGCAGTGGCCATGTGGTCTGAGCAGAGCTGTGGCTGTGGCTGTCGCAGGCTGGAGGGAAGCTGCTGCCCTGGCGTGTTGCAGAATCCCCCAGGCGTGGAGCGGGAGCAGTCCCGGTGCGACGCCGTCTCTGGAGAGCGCTGGTTAATGTGTGCCGGGTGCTGGATGCCGAGTGCTGAGGGGAGGAGCTGGATGGGAGCAGAAATCCTCCAGAGAGGCTTTTATCAGTGACTCTGACCTTGGGTCATTCCCTGCCCTCCCTGCCTGAAAGGCTCAGAGTTCTCAGAAAGATGGGTTTATTTTTTCCAGTTGTCTGGCACATGTGTAGGGAGGAGATCTGCATCACTGCTGGGGCTTCCTTGGAGTCCCGTTTTTGCCAGGTTGGAGCATTTGTCCTGGTGGCCATTCACACCACAATATTTGCAGATGGATTAAAAATTAATTAAATAATAAAACCAAATTCTGTGAAAATGTGGTGTGGTGGACAAAAACACATGTCCTCCTGGGCTGAAGCTTTAATCTCCGTGGTATTGGAGCTATTTTCACCAGAGGAGTAAGGGCAGAACGTGTCAGCAGAGGATTTTATTCCCCAAGTACCCATTTGCTTCCCTCCAGTGTAACCAGGTTTGTATGTGGGTTCAGTCCACCCAGGCTTTTCAGGTTCCTCCACAGCTGTTTTCTGCTGAGGCATTGGACAAGGTGCTGTATTGCAGGGATTGGATGAGCAAGAGCTTGTTGGAGGACCAGGCTAAGATGAGCAGCCAGAGTGTGATGTAACCCCCACAGTTCAAAAGGAATCTTCCTTCTGAAAGGACACTTTTGCAAACCTAAGGAATGGCATAATCTCCTTGAAGACTGCCACTAATGACAGAAACCCCTTTTTTGGGTCACTAGCCATTTAGAATGCTATAATGAGGAGAAGTTAGCTCTTTGGCTATTGAGAACGTTTATATGTGTGTGTATATAAATAAATACATATATTTCTTACATCAGAAGACATCTCCTGGCATTTGGATTAGCAAAAATGGGCCAGATACCAGAAAAAATGTAACATTCATGAATTAGGAGGGCATTACTCTGTAGGCTCAATCTTGGCACATTCAGCTGTACAGTTGATTCACATGTCCTTCCACAAAATCCCAGAATGGCCTTGCTTAGAAGGGCCCTTAAAGATCATTTCTTTCCAAACCCCCACCATGGGCAGGAACAGCTCTGACTAGAGGAAATTGCTCATAGTCACATCTGAGTGGCCTCAAATGCTGCCAGGGATGGGCCATTGGCAAATTTTCCTCAGCCTGTTCCAGTGCCTCAGCACTGTCACTGTAAAGCATTTCTTCCTAATGTCTGGTTTAAACCTGTTTTCCCTCATGCCTGTTGTCCTAGCAGGTCACCTACCAGATGTCATGGAACAAAAATACGGTTCTTCTCCAAGATTTTCATGTACTCCCCTGTGCCTTGCAATCCTCACTTCAGCCTGAATGTGGGCTGATTGAAGTGCTCAGCTAAAACCAAAAATACTCTGTAGGCTGTTCAGACAGACCCACCTTACAGAACTCCTGGGACATAGGTTAGTTGGCTTTGATTCCCATTCTGTTTTCTGCCTTGCACAAGGGCTGGTAAGCAATTCCAGAGGACAACTGCTATATGGCTGATATCCCGTAGGGATGGCAGTGCTTAAAGTTGAAACCAACAAACTTCAGAAGTCCTGTAACAAAGAATGAATTCATTCACCTGCTTCCTAGATAGCATTCCATACAGATGCTTATGATTTCATCTCACACCTAAGGACATAAACGTGCTACTTGTGCCGGCACTTTGTGGCTCTGAAGACGTGTGTCCAGTGTCTGCTGTTGAGTGTATAACCTCCACAATAGTTGTAAAAAGATCTTTCAAATGTGTGCTCTTATTTTTCCTTAGAACATCAATGTGACGCTCTAGTCCCCCAAACTTGCTTCCCCCACACTGTTGTGAAATGCAAATTTCAGTCTTTCCTGCTTGCAGTTGTGTAAGGGCCGAGGGGAGCTGATACCTTTGACAAACATTTGAAATGCATGCAGTTGTTGTAGGGAGTTGATTCTGAGATCCTGTTGCTGTACAGCTTTTTGTGTCTGTTTCAGACAAGAGGTTGTTGTTTTCATCTTATCCAGGTAAGAGAGGGAAAATAAGATCAAACTTGCATGTCAGCAGGCATGGATTTAATGATTGACTTTTTAATGGCAGATCCTGTGTATCTAGGTTCTACAATATGTGCTATCCTGACTTGCTGCATAGAGTCATGTATTTTATAGGTTTTAACAGCTGATCTGTGAGGTCAGATGTTAGTGCACACAGGCACAGACCTCAAGGTGTGTGTCTTCATCTTGGCAGACACTTTTCTGTCCCCCTCTTTATGTTCTGGTTGTTTGCTGCCTGTATCAGAGGTGGGAAGATGGTGGAATGTTTGACAGAAATCTCTGTGGAACAGATGCTGAAATGCACTTATGAGGGCTAAGTACAAATCTTATCTTTTCTGCTGCCTGCAGCAGGCTTCTATAATTTTTAATTACAAGTCAGAGTCTTTTAATTACAAGTCTGATATGAGTGCCCTTATTAATGACCCAGCATTAAATTTCTGTCCACAGTGTAAGTAGGCACCTGTTTCAGAGTCAATTATTGCACTCTACTGTGAAGGACAAACTAGATCATATTCTAGCAGGATTTGTTAGCAGTATTGATAATTCACTATTCTTTAGGTTGCCCTGGTGCCTTAATTTCCATAAGAATAGAAATATTGTGGCCCTCTTACAAAAATGATAGCAGTAGGAGGGAAATGAGGTACAGAAAGTGGGAGCTGGATTCACCCTAATATATTGTACCCAGCAGTGATATAGAAAAAAATTCTGATAAAGATCTATTAAAATGGGCAATTGATTCTGTCCACCCTAGTGGAGCAGGAGAATGGCTGAGGGAAAAAAAAAAATGTTAAACTAGAGAACAGGACTCTTACAGCAATTGCTGATTTTGAGCCCATGCTATCATAGAATGATGGAATGTCTCAGCTTGGGGAGGGCACATTAAGATCATAGCCTTGCCTATTTTATTTTTCTATTATTATTATTATTTTTTTTTCTGCTCAGAACAAATTCCTTTGTTAGTCTAGCTGGGATAGTACATCCTACAGAATTTCACACTGCAATTTCATTGCCAAGGAGGAATTTTACTTTATGGTTTCTGATAGCCATGGGATAGCACCTCTAGCACCCACATTTGTGTGTGATGGGACACAACTGCACACGTAATGTCTCTTCCCCATTACAGTCTGTGCATTTCTCTGAGGTTGTTCCAAGATGAAAACTAGAGCAGGAGAAAAGCCTCCAGACTAAGATCAGGCTCTAAAGAGGACAAATATGAATCAAAGAAGGAAAAATTAGGAGAGAATAATACAGAGCACAGTGATGGGTCTATAGTAGAGATCCATGGTGACATCCACGTTATTTGTTTGCCCCTTGATTCTCACCCAGAGGCGCTGAACTGTGTCAGTTCAGCTCCATACATTCCATCCCTTCTATTCCATACAGTGCCACCTCCCTGCCTCTTCTGCCCTGCCTTTCCATCCCGAAGAGCCTGTAACCATCCAACAGGGCACTCCAGTCACAGGACTTGTCTCACCAGTTCCACTCATGCCAAGGATATCAAGTCTCTGGCACCTGGCGAAAGTTTCCAGGTCATCATTGGTTGTTCCTCAAGCTGCATTCATTGGTACAGCAAGATTTCCACGAGTGGTACTTTGTAGCCAACACTTGTGAAGCAGATGGAGGGATCCTCTTACTGCTCCTTTCCTCACATTTTGGCCCACAATCCCACTGTTCGTCACTGGCCAGCCTGGTATTTTCCCATTCCCCTTCCCAGATTAGTTTAAAGCTCTGTCAATGAGCTCTTCTTGCTCCTGTGCTAGAGCTCCTTTTCCCCTCTGAGAATGGCTCATCCTGTCAGGTGTCTGCAGACGAGGTGGTGAATGGATCACTCCAAAGCCAAAAACCCAATTCTTTTTTGCTCACAGCAGCCTTGGAGCGATGCATTGACCCCATGGATCTGCCTATTCCTACCAGTATGATTCCTCATTACAGAGAGGTCAAGGAAATCACTACCTGTGTTCCTGATCGGTAAAGCAATTGTCCCAAGGCCCTGGAGTCTCTGTTGATTGAGTGCACTGTGTCAGGTGAGTTGGTTTAAAAACCTTTATTAGTACAAGCATTTTCCTGGGAGAGACATCCTTCTATGTCCTGTCTGGGCAGAGCAGGAGCAGCAGTGCCACCAGCACAGACGAGTTGCTCATTCTCCGCACATCCCCCCTTGTGGAGGAGACCTGGGCAGCTTGGAGAATCTTTTAAGATTCATGCTATTTTCTCTCACAAAGATATGCCCAGTAATGCACGTAGCAGGCAGGGAACTTCCCATGGAGGTGAATTTTGCCCTGAGAGGAGCCTGTGGTGATCTGGGAGGGAGCAGAGGTGCTGAAGTGCCACCTACCATGGTGTCCGCGAGCCCAATGGCCTCAAAGGAGTAGTCGACGCCCTGCCCGGTCATCTCAGTGAGCACCTCCTGGATGGGCTTCTTGAAGTCTCGAGGGTTGATGCAGTCGGTGGCTCCCAGCTCTTTGGCCTTGGCAAACTTGTCCTTGTTGATGTCCACGGCAATGATGCGGGAAGCTCCAGCTGCCTTGCAGCCCATGACAACAGAGAGGCCAACTCCTCCGAGGCCGAAGACAGCACAGGAGGAGCCTGGTTTTACCTGCACAGATGGGGGCCTGTGAGTCTCCAGCAGGAATAGGAGAAGGAAGAGGGGGAGGGGGAGGAGAAGGAGGAGGAGAAGTTTTCTTTTGCACAGGATTGATGAGGTTGTGAGGGCAACTGTGGGGTGCTAAACATTCCAACCTTGGCTGTGTTGATGGCAGCCCCATAGCCTGTGGAAAACCCACAGCCAAACAAGCAGACTTTGTCCAGAGGTGCTGCAGCATCTATCTTGGCAACAGCGTATTCTGGGACCACGGTGTATTCTGCAAAGGTGCTGATCCACAGGAAGTGGTGGATCTGCTTCCCTTTGCAAGAGAAGCGGCTGGTCTTGTCCGGCAGCAGGTTTTGTGGTTCATAGAAACTGTGGGGAGACACAAGTATTTGTATTTGATTGAGTGAAGCACTGATGGGGGTGTCAGATTTGTCATAAAGTCAATCCCATGTAGGTGTAGGGGAAGGCAAAGTAAACTTACTGGGACTTCTGGCAGAAGTTGGATTCAGGATTCTGGCAGAAGCTGCATTCCCCACACTGAGGGATGGTAAGGGGGATGACTTTGTCTCCTGCAACAAAGTGGATCTCTGTTAGGTGCCTTTAGCTCCGCAGTCCCTGAGGGCATTGCCTGTTGAATCACCTCTCCTGAGCTTTCTGATGGGAGAAACCTACCACGAGCCCTCTGCTTTCCCTGTGAGGATGAATGCTCCAGACCTCATTCATCTACATGGGGACAGATTGGAAGAGTGGAAGAATGGACATGAGAATCCACGGCACTGAGTCTGCACTTAGTTTTTTAACCTGTGATTCAGTAGCAGGGGGAAGTTTCTGAGCTCTTGGCAGAGCTTTGCGGCCTGAATCCTGGGCATGCATTTGAGTGTGTGTTGGTTACCTGGTTTCACAGAGGTCACTCCTTCTCCAATGCTTTCCACAATCCCAGCTCCTTCATGGCCAGGGATAACTGGGAATTCCACATTAGGCAAGGAACCTTTCAAAATGTGATCATCTGTGTGACAGATGCCCGTGGCCACAATCTGTTTGGAGAGGAAAGAGGTGATGTCTAGAAATAGTCCAGCTGCTGTTTATTTCAGTTTGTGGAAGGATTCTCCACAGAGAATCCTTCTCTGGACAGTTAAGGCACATGGGTGGACACAGATCACATGCTTATATCCAAGCTACAGCCACAAGAAGAGCTGCTCTCTCAAGGGAGAAAAAGTTACTGAAATATATTTTTACCTTGATCCGGACTTCCCCTGCCTTTGGGGGTGCAACTTCCACCTCCTCAACAGAGAGTGGTTTGCCTGGGGCCCAGGCAACAGCAGCCCTGCACCTGATAACCTGGAAACAAGTGAGAGGAATACATTGGAGGCAAAGGTTCACCTTTGACAGCAGCCCAGGACAGTTGTCCTACAATCAGCAAAGCCAGGGCTGCACAGCACATGTCTCTGCACACTGCAGCACACGCTTCTGGAGCTACACAACTGTCCTGTGCTGTTTTCTGAGAGTTGCTGGTTGGGTGGGATTCCGTGGGAGAGCAGAAACATTGGAGTGCTCAGCTGTACACAAACCCAAACAATGTTCAGTAAACACTTGGCCCTGTGTGAAGTGTGAAATACCAAATGAAGTGGCTGGTTCATTGGGGCAGATGTGACAGCAGCATGAGCGCTTCTGCAGCTTAAGGCAAGCAAGACAGAACTTTTGTTTTAGTGAGCTGACGGTATCGAAAAAGCAGTTGCAAAACAGTCACAGCCTGGCTGGAGACTGGATAATTTCTCTCCTTGCCAAAAGCATGATTTATGTGTGACATTGCTCAAACCCTTCCCCGATCAACTCAAAGCAGTTTGGCACCAGCAAAAAGGGGGTTTTGCAGTTTGAAAAGGGAATTGCCATGGCCAAGGTTGAGTGCAGGAGGTGAGCGGCTGAAGAGGGCGCTATCACTATAGGATACGAAACAACATGACGCAGACACGCTGCTGCTCTCAAGGGGAAAAAACGGGAAGTTTCCTTTCTGACTCCAACATTTATAGATTTCCAAAGGTGACTGTGGATTGGAGGGTGAAAGTGCCTCCTCTCCAATGACACTGGACAAACCAACAGTCCATCAAGTTTCTCCTCCTCCATAAAAGAATGCAAAAATATAAGATGTTTTCAGAAAGCGTGTGAGAAAGTTTGCTACAAGAATGCAAACATCAGAAGGCTTACAAAATCTTAAAAAATCAGGGCGACAGGACACCACTGAAGAGCTGCGTTTGCTGCCAGCGCAGGAGCACAGGGTGGGGTTGAGCAGGAGGGTGTTTTTCAGAGCAGCACAATTCCATACTTTGTCTCCTGAGCAGCTGGGCAGCACAGAGGGGCAATGCACAGCGAATGCAGCTATGGACACGTGCAGTTGTCTGAGAGCAGAGTCTGGCGAAATGCACAGGGCTTTGGCAGAGCTGGGGGAGTAAGGTCGGAGCAAAGAGGGCACGCAGAGCGGTGCGCAGGCTGAGCCTTTTGCAGCGGGTTTGGCCAAGAGCAGGGCACCTCGGAAAGGAGGATGGGCAGTGCCTTGTCCTTACTTGTCCCGCAGTGGCCATGTGGTCTGAGCAGAGCTGTGGCTGTGGCTGTCGCAGGCTGGAGGGAAGCTGCTGCCCCGGCGTGTTGCAGAATTCCCCAGGCGTGGAGCGGGAGCAGTCCCGGTGCGACGCCGTCTCTGGAGAGCGCTGGTTAATGTGTGCCGGGTGCTGGATGCCGAGTGCTGAGGGGAGGAGCTGGATGGGAGCAGAAATCCTCCAGAGAGGCTTTTATCAGTGACTCTGACCTTGGGTCATTCCCTGCCCTCCCTGCCTGAAAGGCTCAGAAAGATCCTTTTTTTCCTTCCAATTGCTACTGGCAGATGTGGAGGCATGAGATCTGCATCATTGCTGGGGCTTCCTCGGAGTCCCCTTTTTGTCAGGTTGGAGCATTTGACCTGGTGGCCATTCACACCACAATATTTGCAAAGAGTTTAAAAAATAAAAAAACAAAAACGAAATAAAGACAGTGAAGACGTGGTGTGGATGACAAAGACACATCACTGTCTGTGTTGAAGCTTTACTGTCTGTGGTATTGGAGCTATTTTCACCTCATTAGTAAGGGGAACTTCTGTCACGGACAGGTTTGCTTCACTCCGGTGTAGCCAAGTTTGTGGGTTCACCCCCCCTGGGCTTTTCAGGTTCCTCCAGAGCTGTTTTCTGCTGAGGCATTGGAAAAAGTGATGTGTAGGAGAGACAGGATGAGTTAGTGCTTATTGGAGGGGCAGGCTAAGATGAGCACTGTGTGTGTTTGGGAGCTCTTTCTGTGTTTGGGAAGATGTCAGCCCCACATTTACGTGTTCAGTGGACTGCCCACAGAGGTTTGTGTTGGTGCTTGCTGTTGAATGTCCCAGCCCTGTTTCATGGGCTGGGGGGGAGGTTGGTTGCAGCTGCAGGACTCAGAGTTGGCCGGCCAAGCCCCCAGCTCTCAAGTTCCCTAACCTATCTCTAGCTCCAAGGATGCAGTCCTGCCCCAACATCTGTCTGAGCTCTTGCACAGAGCATGGCAGCCCTGTGGTGTGACAGTGGTCCCAGCCACATGGATGTGCTTCTTGGCATGCAGCTCTCCAGCCCGGCTGGTCAACCCAACCTCTAGGTGAAGACATGCTCCTGTCTTGGAGGAGAGCAGCTGGCTCTAGAGCATACGGGCACTTGTGGATCATTTTTATCTGTATTTTAGGTAAACAGGGATGTTTAACAGTTTTTCCCCCAGAAGTTGTACTTTTTCATACATTTGCTTGCACACCTCTGGTAGCCTCAATCAGACCATGAATGATGATGATGTATAATTTCCCAGGAATAAGGAGTTTTAGAACAAAGTTTTAAAGATTTTCAGTATGCAGCCTGGTCAACCTGTTGCATTAAAAAAGAAATAAATCTATCATGACTTCTAGTATGATGTGTGTATCTTGTTAGAGAAAAAAATTTTCATAGGCTTGTTGTCTTCCAGGTATCTGTGTAGCACAGTTTTTATTACTGCGATCTGTGGTCTCCATCTGATAACCTGGAAGCATTGGAGGGAATTATGTTGTGTGGGAATGATCATTTGGCTTTGATGAACTGTCAGGGAGCGTGATCTTAAAAGCATGTGAAAATAGAGCTGCACACTGGAGCATGTGCCATTTCCTGGGGGAGTGTCTGGGTGGGTGGGGTCTGGTGGGAGGGCAGAAACATGGGAGTGCTCAGCTGTGTCCAAAGCCAAGTCATGTTCAAACTCTACCATAGTTTAAGGTCTGAGGAAACACCATTTGTGCTTTGTCTGGTACTTTGTTTGCTTCTTGGGAAATTACTGGATTTTTCATGTTTTTGGTAGATTTTTTGTGGTGTCATCATGTGCTAGTGGACAGTTGGTGCTCTTATGGGGCATGTGGTCTCTACTCATTGCCAGGAAAGCTCCTAAATGGAGGCTTACACGGAGCTGTGCAAGAGCTGTCCAGAGCTGTCCAATGCTTCTGGATCCCCCAGGAGTACCTCAGAGCCAGAGAGTCATTAGGAAGGGCCATCAGAAACCTCCTGTCCGAGCTATACAATCACATAAACAAATTCATCTTCAGCTGAGTGTTGATGAGGGTCTGCAGGGCAAAATACTCTAGGAAAGTATGAACTTTTTGTTGTTTCCCAGTCAGAATACACTTCATTTCTCCATGTGAAGAAAGATCTAGATGGCTGCCTTATAAAATGTCCCTAATAAAAATTATTTCATGGGTTTATTGTTTTGGACTCCAGCAACTATCATACTAAAGATACTAACAGCTGGCATTTACTATGCTTGGCAGATGACAACCACAAAAATGGGCTTTGCATCATCCTGAAGAGGATAGAAGTGAGGTTTGTTGTACCTTAGCTCTTTTACACTGACGACTGAAGTTCAGCTCTCAATTGTTGTGTAAATTTAGTTTATATGTGTGTAAGGTTAAACTGTAATCTCTTGATTCCCATATCATTAAACTGTGATCTCTTGTCCTCAAATCATGAAACTAGCTGGGCCACTCAAAGACTCTTTCTGCTGACACAAACAGGTAAGCCATCCATAGCACAGTCCCCTTGCTTCACATGGCAGCCCTTCTACCCAGCTGCCATGCGTGTGAGTGCCTGTGAGCTCTGATTAGTCCATGCTAAAGATATGTCAATGTTGACCATATTTGCCAAGATAGAAATAGCCTCTGTTTCTGTTTCCACATTGCAAATTCAGAAAACAGTAAGATGCTTTATGTTTGTGTTGTTGCAAACTGTTACCAGTCACCTGGTTTTTCCCATTTATTCTGTATTCATACCTAAGAAATTAAGGAGCCTCCCCTTTGTATAATGGAAACAAAAAACAATATTGATGCACATTCGTATTTCTTCACACTGCTTCCCAAACATCAGAGGCATTTGTACAAATTAGCCAAAGGTCTTAAACCACACTGATCAACAACTAAAACAACCGCAAGGAAGAGGCATAAAGGTAAAAACACCCCAAAGTACCAAATACAAACCACGACACAGAACAACAATATACCAATTCTACATACAATATTTGGGAGTGTTAATCTGGTAAAATACTGAGTGGTGAGACATTCTCCAGTACCTAAGTCTATGATTTACTTAAATTATTAATTCAAACACATAGTCACCATAAAGTTTAATTTCTGCTATACCATTCCTTTCTTATTAGGCACTGGAATGATACAGTCATTCAGGATGGATACACAGTTCTAACCTAGAGTTTCACTATGCTGAACTGCATGTATAAATTTCTTAAGCTTGCAGAGTTATGGAAGCCTAAAGAAACAGTTTCCTTCCTTTTTATTGTATTAAAAGATTGCATATTATAAGTAATTTTTTAAAATCCAAGCTTTTTAGAACAGCTGTTTTAGAACAGGAGCAAGTCTTGTAATTCAAAACTAGCTATTAAGAAAAATTACAGCACAATATAAAGGATTTAAAATAAGAATGAGGAGAAAGAGGTAGAAGGAAAAAGATGGTTTAATTTATAAATTCTGTGCTTGAAATGTGGGGTTTGAGCTTAATTCTTTTATTCCAGGGTAGTGGTAGGTCTTTCAGAAAAGCCTTGGTTTGCATTTCATGTGAGTTGTATTGGAGGATGGTGAAGTTCATACTGGTGCTGAGCCATCTGCTGCTTAACGTCTGGGAATCCTAAAATGTCAGGACACTGCGGATGCTGCAATATAAAATGACAAGTTAGTGACTAGAAAATCCCCTGGGCTGGCATCAGCAGAACACTGCTGTTTTCTCTGATAATCTGTGCTATTGCTGTCAAACAGGTACCCCCTCCCTGCCTGCCCCAGCTTGCAGCAAAATGACAGAACAGATGTGCAAACTTTGCTGCAGATGTAGAGAACAAAATTCACAGAAGACTGCGAAGCCTTCACTGATGAAGCCCAGGGCTCCTGGTAATTAATTACCAGCTACAGCCAGAGAAGTTCCTCAGAGAGGGGCTTAGACACATCTTTCCAATTACAGAGTAACTGGGACAGCTTATTCTGCTCTGAAACACTGAAGGGTTATACTCCATAAAAATGATCAGCTGCAACATGCCTCCCTCTTCAGGCTGACTATCAGTATCTTAGCAAAGCTGCGGGCATCTCTGTCCTCATCACTTTCCTGTTTGTTGTACTAAAAACTAAAACTAACATTTATAGCCTATGTAAATTAAGGACAATCAAAAAATTAAGTGTGTGCTGCATCGTTAGAACCTGAGAACAAACCTCAGGGGCTGAAATCCTTTTGTTACTTGCTTTTTATATTCAGAGTGAGGAACATCTAAAATAACTGCTAGCAAATGACAATGAAAAGAAAATATGAATGTAATTCTCCAGACTGTAAGTTATAAACATCTAGAACTTTAACACATACTAAGATATACAAATGTATTTTCTACTTCTGCTAAGGACAATTTTCAATTCCCATGGTGAGTCTTGTTAAATGTCTCTGTCAAAAAATATTTCCAATTTCATTACCCTGTGAAAACAGTCTGAGCTGAATTTTCACAATATTTGAGGAAAGCACAAGAGCTAAATTCTGCGTTTGCAATGCATATTTATACCAAGTGCTTTCCTTTTTTAAAAGCTCTGATGCTCAAGGTAAAGTACCCAGCGACTTTAGGACCAATTGGACTGGGACTCTGTTCCTAACTCACAAGAGGGAGTGGGCTATTTCTGTGTTCCTGCTCCTCATCCTTATATGTTTATTGGAATATGATGTAGCTAACACTTGGCACTCTACAGCTTGGCACTCCCATGCTCCCTTGGTTGTGTGCTTTTTTCCACTGAGTACTGGGACTTCCTCAATTGTGTAGTCTTTTCTCCCTCTGCCACCCAGTGTCTCTGCTCAAACTAGAATCTGAAAGTTCCTCTGCAAGGGCCCGCTGCATTTCAGAGGCTGAAGGTTTGCTGGCTTTATGACTCCAGCTGCAGCTCATGGGAACACACTGGGAGGGATTAAGGGGCGTACTGGGCTGCCTTGCCCATTCTCTGCCATGAAGTCAGACTTTGTCTTCCCATACATCTCCTTTAGGTTATTTATACAGAACCTCTACAATGAAATTATGTTTACCTCTTTCCTGTCCTTAGAAGATCAAATCCTTCATTGATCTTTGTGAAAGGTAGTGTGTGGGTTATTAATGGATCCAGAACAAACTTTTTCTTCATG